TGTTAAATGCGACTCACCACCTTAAACGGACGTAGGTCGTCTTAAAAGACGAATTTTAACCACCGAGTTCTTCCCTGTCCAACCACAGCAGCCATCTTGCTGCAGCGTGGTCTTACCACCTGATACGGAATCACCATAATTTGCATTTTCTTAATTAACTAATTAAGTTAGATTGCACACCGACCAGAAAACCCGTTGCAGTCCTATATCAAGCCGCCAGGGGGTCCAAAATCTAATCATTTCTAGGGCATAAGACCTACCCACATACCTAATATGAAGAAAATCTATAAAAGCCTTCTCAAGTTATTGTGTCCACACACACACACACACACACACACACGCACACACACACACACACATACGAACGAACGAACGCCTCCGAAAACATAACCTTCTTGGCGAAGGTAATAAAACGAGCGTATCTAACGTAGAGTCATGTTATTTCAAAGAGGACATGAAAAAATCGCTCTCGAACAGCGTCTTTACTGCAATCGTCACCGGCGCAAAACATGATTCACAAAATTCTGTGTTTTACCTTCATTTCAACAAGTTCCTCCCAAATGCTAGTAGTTATGAGAACATAAAGGGCAATATGTTAAGTGCGACTCACCTCCTTAAACGGACGCAGCTCGTATTAAAAAGACGAATTTTAACCACCGAGTTCTTCCATGTCCTGTACACCAGCCATTTTGCTGCCGCGTGCTCTCACCACCTGATAAGAAATCACCATAATTTGCATTTTCTCAATTGAGTAATTTGCATTTCAACATAATTTGCATTTCTTTGTTAAGCTTTAAACGCATTATCACATAGCCAGAAGAAATTGACCTATCAGAAGGCTCCATTTGCCATTGGTTATCAGGCCGTAACCTCAAAACCAAAAAGTGGTCGGTTAATAGAATAAACGACCACTTTTTGGACACACTACCATTATACAGAAGACAGAATACTAACAGTAGTATTTATGTATTAAAACGTATTGTAGTTTATTTTGAATAATTTATTTCAAAATACAACACAATTAAAATTATACCATTTTAACTATATTTGCCTTACAAACATTGTTCATTAATACCATTCAACCTCAATCTTTATTTATAGTTGTGTAACTTTGTTTCAACATTAAAATGGCAGAAATGTTGACGAAAAACCTCCGTTCAGCCGCTCGTACCACCTGTTGTAGAAATGTTTGTCTCAAAAAGAACAGATGCAAGACTAAAATGAAGGTTTCTCGATAAATTAGTGATATTTTGGTAGTCGGGGAGAGACCCAAGGTCAAGAACGAGAGCGATAAATACATGAAGTAAAACTCCCATAAGAGCCCATCTCGTTTCTCCACTCGCGAAATGGCCAAATCTGGGAATGAGCGAGGTTTCTTTAGCGAGATACGAGGGTTTTCGGAACGGGAGATCGAAAATGGGGGTGTGATAGGGGACGGATTTCCGCTTTTCCTATTTCATTAAAATTCAACTTTTGGCATCTTTCGAGACTCTTGCTTTCAGAGTATACTCCTTACGGTATCTATTATATCACTGCTTAATTTCTTCCATTGTATTTCCTTCCTTCTCAACTTATACGTGAAAATGTGTTTTTGCGATCAGCTGATCGCTTGCAGAACGTGCACTCAGCCTTGCAGAAGTGGAGTTTTTGCTGTCGAAGGCATTTCCATATAAATGAAAACCAAGCAGATGTCAGGAAGGAAGATCACAAGATAACTTAAGCTTGTGGATAGCCGTAGCCTACTGAAATGGGGTCCCCAAAACGGGGAGACCAGCGGGAAGACGTCGTGCGTACCTAGTACCTCGTGTGGTGCCGGAGCTGCTCGTCGCCTTGCCATCTCGCAGGCCCTGGGGTACGGTCCCGGTTCGATGCGTCAAAGTTACAATGTAGACTGTAGAGAATACTAGTACATGTACATGTATTCACGGACGGTCTCACAGCAACACCTAGCAGCGATTGAAGTACTGCACATGACGTCACTAGTGGAATTGACAAACTTCTAGTCACATTTTCTCAAGAATGGAATCCTCCAGAGTCGTGTGGCTAAATCCTTGAATATCTAAACCAATATGAAGAAGAATACAAGGCAACTTCACTCAAATAACGCTACTTACACCAAAATATTCCGTCTCAGATTCGTTTGTCTCATGGCCAATGCCGTATGCGGTAGCTCTTGCAGACGGTCTCACAGCGACCCCTAGCAACTGATATCAGTAATGCAGTACGAAGCTCGTCATTGCTGTTTCACTCAGTTCGTGTCCTGACCTGTATAATTCAACAGTCGCGATTATTTGACTCCGTACATTATTTTCGCCCCACTCGTCGCAGAGACGCAGCTCCCCGCCACCAACAAGGCCGTTTGGTCAATTCTAGTTTTGATCCGGAGGCCAAACTGCCTCACAATCAAACAGAATTCCCTCTTCTAGTGGTATATTTTTCTTCAACTTCAAGTTCAACAAACTGCATTCACTGTTGTTTTAATACAGAAGTACAGGGAAACCATCTGTCCTTATTTGGGAATACGCGGCGACGTTAAAATGGTCTAAACCAATCAGCATCTACTCTATTAATTACATCATTAATATCCTCGATTATGCCTTATTTGGGCATACGAAACGTCAGTGCAATGTCAAGCAATCAAAGGTGACGAGATTCGTACTGCATTACTGATGCCAGTTGCCAGGTGTCGCTGTGAGACCGTCTGCAAGTGACTATGGACTCATACAAGTGACGTTAGCTGCAGTACTTTCATTCGCTGCTAGGCATCGCTGTGAGACCGTCCGTGAACACTAGTATTCTCTACAATCTACATTGTAACTTTGACTAATCGGACCGGGACCGTACCCCAGGGCCTGCGAGTTTGCAAGGCGACGAGCTGCTCCGGCAGCACACGAGGTACGCACGGCGTCTTCCCGCTGGTGTCCCCGGCATGGGGACCCCCATTTCAGCACCAAGGACATCGACAGGCGGCGCTCTGTCAGTGGCGCTCACTTGCGTGCACGGGGCAACATTGTAATCACATTTCACCCGTCTCATCGATCATTGACCAGTTTATGTCCCACAATATGACATAATTTATCGTTATCCGTAATCTAAAGCTTCAAAAACTAGTTTATTGTGCGTAGACTACGGCTATCCCTAAGCTTAAGTCATGATCTTCCCTCCTGACATCTGCTTGGTTTTCATTCATATGGAAATGTGTTCGACAGCGAAAACTCCACTTCTGCAAGGCTAAGTGCACGTTCTGCAAGCGATCAGCTGATCGCAAAAACACATTTTTACGTATAACTCGAGAAGGAAGGAAATGCTATGGAAGAGATTTGGCAGGAATACAACAGAGACTGTAAGGAGTATATATTGAGAAAAGGGGCTCTGAAAAATGTCAAAAGTTGGATTTTTAGCAAATTGAAAAAGCGGAAATTCGTCCCCTATCACACCCCCATTTTCGAGCCCCAGTTCCGAAACCCCTCGTATCTCGCCAAAGAAGCCTCGCTCATTCCCAGATTCGGCCATTTCGCGAGTGGGGAAACGAGATGGGCTCTTATGGGGGTTTTACTTCATGTCTTTCTCGCTCTCGTTCTTGACCTTGGGGATCTCCCCGACTACCAAAATATCACTAATTTATCGGAAAAGAATCATTTTAGCCTTGCATCTGTACTTTTTGAGGCAAATATTCCTGCAACGGCTTGTACGAGCGGCTGAATTCGGACCTTTTTCGTCAATATTCATGCCATTTCAGTGTTAACACAACCAATAATCTATGAGACGCGTACCATATATTAAAAAACACTCTTATACCTTCTCTTACTACATCCTTAACTTAATTTGACCATTGCTTGTAGTTAAAGTCTTAATTTCTGTAGTTTCTTATGAATTTATGAAGTTAAATAACCGAGAAACAGTTATGCTTCATAGCTAAGGAACTGAGTAAGTTAAAGTAAGTAACAGTCGAATAAACATTTTCATAATGAAAGGTTTTTGTCTGCTTTATTTCAACACAGAACGCGTATCAACAAGAATCGATCTTGTGATAACCGTAACCTCACAAAATATTAGAAAACCTATTTCGAAAAAACGACATTCATAATCAGCATTAACATGTTAAAAGCCTAAACGTAGTACGAAATGGCACCGGTTATGGTTAGGTAGCAACAATGTACTAGTAGTAATTATGTAGCTTCTAAATGCAAAAAAATGACACCCAAATGCTATTTTGTACAAAGTAACAGTGGCTAACACTGAAAAAAACAACAACACTGGTCTGGTCACCAGTCGATATCGGCAATGTACATACACATTCAACATTTTGGCATTGCTGAAGAAAGATTCAGCTACCTGTAATAGTTGTACCAGTTTGGATAGATGGCATAGTTACATTTACAATTTATATCAGCTCCGTACTAGTATGTTACACATTTTCTAGTTGACACATTTTACAATGACACATACACACAAAATTGGTCACTTAACGACATACTAGGAAGGGTGTAGGGAGACGAAAATGTGGGAATAATCTTCGTTAAGAAAGCTGGCTGAAAAAAATATAATCTTCAAATAAAAAAAAAATTGCACAAAAGGTTAAACAAAAACTCCCAATCCTTCCCAGTAGGTCCCTAAGTACCCTAAGAAAAATCTTGAAGTTTGTTATGCGAATTTTTTCAATACAACAGAATTGCATTGGATACACCTTAAAACATCACATTGAACAACAATAATACTGACACAAATAAAATTAGCTTTGCCAAATCCTCTTGAAAATTATCTCCTGCAAAGTAACTTAACTTTATACATCCTTCTACTGATTATTAAAACATGCACAACACAAAAGTCATTGCAAGGGCACTGTAAAAGTACAAGATTGGCACTAAATTCCACAGAAATCCTTACTATATCTACAAAACACAGAAAGAGCTCCAAAATTCTCAATAGGAACACAAACATGTACTTGTCAGGTCACATTTTTTTTTGGCAAATTAAAACTTTAAACTTGGTTTCAGATGGACAATCAAAAACTTGCTGTTTTGCAATGTGTCACATGATGCCTGTATGATAGTCAAACTTTCATAGTCAGGTTAGTACAATTTAAAGTATTAACCACAATTGTGGCTCCTGAGACAAAAAAAAAAGAGGATTCAAAATAAACCACAACATATGTATAAGCTACACTGTAGGAACTCACGGTACAAAAAATACTTTTCCTAATTATTGACTTGGCATTCAGTGACACTATACATGTACATTGTAGATGGCTAACATTTAAGAGCAATGTCCATGTAAAACCACAATTGTCTTTCTCAGCAAAAAAAAACACACTTTTTTGTTTTCTTTTTTTGGTGGAGAACATTTGGCATGCATGCACATACATGTACATTATGTTTCAGTGGTTTGGCAATTTCCTATATACAATACAGTTACAATGTTATAGTCTTGTGTTAAGTACAGTTAAGTTATCATTCTATTGTCAGTTGCATGTGCACTTGATGTGAACAGTCAGTTTCTAAAACTTTTGCCTAGACTTTTGTTGCCATCGATATGGTTGCCAAAATGAATGAGTTCGTTCCACAGTGTATACATGTCAATTCAAAAGGACCATTTTACTAGCCTATTATTCAGCCTGAACTACATAGTATTTTTTTAAATGTATATCAGTTTCAACTCAACATACCTCTAATTCGGTATGAGTTTGAGTAATGTCCATACTTTCCACATTCCTACACAAAGTCAAAGCTAGTGTATTGTTGTGTTACTCTTTTGCATCTTTTAACAACCTCTAGTAAAAACACTATGGTCACTACAGTTCTACTTGATGTTTTCACATGAAAAAAAATAAGTAGAATGTTCTTCATCAACAGCCACAGATATTATCAGAAGCAAAAGCAGTTAGTTGTCCTTCATTAACAAAATAAATCACTCATAGTGATACAATTTAGTACAATAATGCAGTTAACATCACCAATGAATTAAGCCTGTAGCACATGTGTATAATGTCTACTTCATGTACATGTATGTTTGCAGTGTTAGATGACACTGAAGTCATTTGCCAATAGATGCATGTACTTGTTGTTACGTTGTTGTTGAGGGACAAAATAAGGTTACGATGCTCACCTTTCATTTTAGCTGGACTTGTTAATTTTTCCGTTGTTGTTACTACAAACATGTTGAGTTCAAGTTATATTTGCCTACATGACCACTATTAGCCTTAGTGACTTGTGCCGGAAGTTGATTGGGTCTCGCTGTTGTGTAATCTACATAACAAGAACAAGACATGTTGTTACAAGTAGCATCTATACAAAGGTCATACATCTGTCTCTATGGGAACTGCGGAATCTACAGACTGGGCATCAGCCTTTGTTAGCGGGATACTGTCGGAATCCTCTCCATTATCGATACTACCCGAATCCTGCGATCTGTGGAATTCCTTCATTTCTATCCCCCTCGCGCTTCCCGGCGAAGTGCCCCTTCTGTTAGCGTAGAGTCTCGGCGGCTTTGGAATGAGGTTGGGTTCGTACTTTGCCCTCTCGGGAATCGGCTCCGAGAGGTGCCGCGTTTTCAACTTGGACGCCTTGTGGCGGCGCGGCGGGTTTGTGGTGTTTACGTCGTCCACATGCGTGAGCCGGTAGTGTTCGCTAAACGATGGCGAGTTATACACATTTGGTAATGCTGTGAAGGACTTTGGTTGCGGAGGGAGTTTCGTGCGTAACGCCTTTTCGCTCAACAGTTCTTCGGACGCCGGCCGTCCGTTCCACTTTTCGCCAGGACTTCCGTCACTTACTCCATTATACAGCTGTTTTGCGCTCGACGTGTGCGAAGGAATTTTTTCTATCGTTGCCGTTGTCGTCATCTGGTTCTTGTGCGGCGTTGACTCCTCACTCGGAAAACCGCTCGCGTTGAGAAGTTCGTTCGACACTCCCGTACTTACATAATAACAGTACCCAGGGTCTGACTTGAGGATTGTGCTATCAGGGGTGGACTGTAGAGTCTGTATGGTGCCGATGCTGAGGGCTTTACTCGATTCCTCGATGGAGTAGACAGAGTCGGACTCGGAGAGGCTCTCGGACTCGGCGAGCGGTGCGGAGGACTGCCAGTCTGGGTCGGTGGGGTCCAGGGTCTGGGCAGACTTGGTGATCAGACTGGTCCTGGACTTGTTCTCCTTAATAGAAGGTGTACCTGAGTGGCACAAAATGTCAGTTATGAGTAACATTCATAACATATTTTCCATGTTAAAAGTACTTCAAGGGTGTGAAGTTTTCAGAAATCCTCCTCGCTTTATCAAAATTAACTCCATTCTAGTGTGCATAAAGTAAAATATATTAAGAACATTGAATTGAAAACTTGTTTTGAATTCTTGTATAGGAAAAACTTTTGTCTGTATGTTAGCAGATCTCATCCACACCTATCATATATAAATATAGAAATAAATGTGCAATAATAAGTTTTATACAAGACACAAGGGAGCAAAGCACAGAGCATTTAAGAGGCAAGAGTTAGACAAAGTTGAATCAGAATTTCAGATGGAAAAACAATTTTATCAAGGATTAAAAGCAGCACAGCAAAAAAACAGCCAAGAGTCACAGAAAGACTAGATCACAATCAGTGATTTCTTACAAGACAACAGAGATAATACAATTTAATGTACAAGCATGCAACAACACAGAGAAACACCAAATAACAATGCAGAGCATGCATACAAAAACACAGAGAAACTTATGAATACAACACTTGACATACAATACAACCAAACAACAAGACAGATAATTAAATTACAAATATACAACAGCATCACAACATACACACAAAACATGTATGTTACTTTGAAAAGGCAAACCTTTTCTTGGTCCTTTAGAGGAGCGTAAAGTTGACAGAGAATAAGGTAGAATAAGGTCTGAGTAGTGGTCTGTACAGAACAGGAGTGTGGTGTAGTTAAGTATAGAGGATAAGTATTAACACATATGACATAACAAACAGGGTTAGGCAGGGTACAGAACAATAAGGAAGATAAAATATGTATTGAAACAACAGACAAGACTTTGAGAGCTACACTTGAGACTCTGTAAATGCAGCTCTCAAAGTCTTGTCTGTTCCAGATACAGTGTAACAAACAACACAGTTCTGTGGGGCCTTCTTGAGACTTACAGAACTGTGTTGTTTGTTACACTGACTGTATCTAAAAATGTGCCACATTAAATACAAGTTTGAGTCAAGAAAAATAATAAAATAATTTTACTTGACTGTCTTGAGAAAGCATACTAGTATACAGCTGTGTGTGTCTGTAGGTATAAAAGGACAGCTGACTACAGTAATGTTCATACATATATGAAGTTAATGTTAAAGAACCAAACAAACATTTAAATGACAGAAAGCTGAGAATAAAAGATAAGAAAGAAACAAAAACAATGTGGGGATAATGACAGAATGAACTTGCTACCTAAAATAGTTTATGGTAGCCTGGGCAGTATACAAATACATAACATCCAGGTTAAAAGAAATACAAGAATACATTGGAAACCAAAAAGGAAATCAGAAGGAAAAAGGACAGATTCTGGGATAGAAATTGGGAAAATTAAAAACGAAAAGTAGTCATAAAATTGTTGAGAGCTACATGTGTATGATAAAATTCCCACCTGCCACCAGTTCATCCCGTGAGTTGTACTCCCAGCTGAGGCTGGACTCCACCCTGGGACAGGCGCAGTCTAACAGGTCCTCCTCACTGGTGTGACTCAGGGTCTCGTGGCTGTACCTGATCTGTACTGAGTCGTCCATCTTCAACTTGTTCTTGTTGGACGTCTCAAACTGGTCTTCTAAGCCATAGTCTGTATTGCGCAGCACCTGAGAAAATATGTGCATATTAGTGCAAATGCATAATGTTTACCTTCGCATATGGTCTGCTCTGTTAATTCTTACTCAAATACATATGGTCAGGCAGGAGTATAAATCCTTTCTAATATAAAATTGCATCATGATGTAACCCAACACCAGTTACCATGGTGAGAGATGTCAACATATCAGGTCATTGGCCAGGTCGGAGGTCAGTGTTTGGAATGGAAGAAGAAGAGGAAATGTAACAAAACAGTTAAATGATTAAACAGTTATTACAGTGAGGAAGTACAAAATGTACATATCAGCATCAGTGTAACATACATTCCAAACACACACAGTTGCAATGGGATTCGAACCCTAGACCTTTAGATCTAGAGTCCTTACCTCCTCCAGTGCATGCATGACCTGGTCGGGGAAGTGGTCTGCCATCATGGCAGGTGACACCAGGATCTCTGAGAAGTCCTCGTTCTTCACCCACAGAGCCTGATAGCGGGGCTTCATCTTTCCACACCTGGAAATGGAAAAGGAAAAAAAAATCTTCAGATCTGTCAAAAAAACGTTTACTGCAAGCAACAGTCTCAGCCACCACTTGATTTAATATATGATATTCATGCTTGGCTCTCCATGTTAAAAAAAGCTGTCCCTTAATTTCATTTTCACAGACTTGAACCAAGAGATTCCTGTTTTGGCTTGTAGCTTAATAGGAAGGCTTATACTATAATTATACAGTTGTTGAACATTTCACAGAAAATTTCAATTTCAAACACTTATTGATGTCTTGTCATTACATTCTGGACTGTTATTAACGTGAATGTAGCATCACACTGTCCCTATCTCTGCCCAAATGAGAACAGAAAAAAAAACAAAATTAATAAAATATAAATACTCTTTCATCTCTATCTGTTCCCCCTCTGCTACAAATGTACTGCTAATATGGTACATCCCACATACAACACACTAGTCCACAGGACCATACCATTTCTCCCTGGGGTGGTTCCTGACCACGTGGATCATCCTGCCGGGTGGGTACAGCTGCAGGTGCTGCGGCAGGTTGATGGAGATGGTGCTGGCCGACCTGCTGCTCAGGTCACGGGTCGACTGGGTCAACGAACTCTGGTCGATGTCCGGCATGAGGTACGGGTCCCGCAGACAGCAGCAGGGCAGACTGTAGGCTATGATCCTCCACTGGAAAATAAAAAAAAATTAATATGGATTTAGAACTTCTTGATACTACATATGTCAGGATAGACACATTGATCAGGTAGAGATCTGGATTGGAGTCTCTGTCAACAGTCTGTAGATTTTAGAGAGAGCAAGAAGCAGCATGGTAGACTGTAGACTATGATTCTTCACTGGAAGTAAGAAATACAGATTCAGAACTACTTGAGAACACTATATAATTTTTCTTATATATGTTGGGGTTTTGACATTGATTGGGTAGAGATGGCGATTCTACGGGTATGGATCCAAAGAACAAAGAGCAAGAATGGGCCTTTTTTACAGCTTGGACACTTACTTCATGTAAATTTCTAATTCTTTAGCAACAAAAAATACCTTTGGATCAGTGCTTCTTTTCAGCATCTTGAGAAGTTCAAACCGGAAATGTTCCATTTGAGGCAGGCCCATCCTGGAAGAGGTTTACATAATACATTCCTTTAGGAACAAAAGACTTTATTTTGTTGATTCATTTATCAGACATGTAGCAACATTGCAAACAGTCAGTAAAGGTGTTTGTGTATACTTGTCTACCTTTTGAAAGCTTGATTACCAGTGTTGCCCCCAAAAAACACACATGACAAGTCCCAATTTAAGTGGTGACTCTTATACCAAAATGTCTTTAGTGTATAGTACAACTAGTTGATAAATACAGATACAAAGAAAGCAATTTGAGAAGAACACTAAGTCTCTTACTCACCTAGGTACGACATCTTTCCCAACCACAGTGGATGTGATATAACTCCTGCTAGCATCAACTGCAGTTTTACTACAGAGAAGAGAAAAAACATTGTCAAGTTCATAGAAAATATTTGCAACAATTCCTTACACATGCAGCTATATACCCCAATCTGACTTAATGTTCATGTATCACAGTAATATGATTATATATACATGTACAAGGAAATTGTTACTCAAGCACTACTGGATAATTTTGAAAACTGTCAGACGTTTCAAGTGGCATCTAATATTTTTTGCTGTCAGTGACTGACAAAAAGTAGTGATGAAAAGATACTGCAGTGCTGCTTTAAACGTCTCACAGTTTTCAAATCTATCCAGTTGCTTGAGTAAAAATTCCCTTGTGTATCTAATTACCTGGATGTCTAGCCTTCATTGTAATTTTTTAGAAGGCACTTACCTGAGTAGACCACCAGGTGGAGAGAAGGGGAAGCAGCGCAGGTTAGGATATTGCTTCTTGAGCAGGATGGACAGGATTGCTGCAGTACCAGCACCGAGGGAGTGACCAGCAATGATCAGTCCATACTGCTCCTCATCCATCTGTTTGGAGAAGGCTAAGTCTAGCAGCAACAGTTCCTCCAGCTTGTTCTTCACGTACACGGCTGACTCTAACATACCCTGTAGAAAGAAATTAAGGAAATAACACTCTAGGTAAACAGATAGCCTTCCTTTTGTTCGAAGAAACCTATAAGTCTCGTAGCACTGGAGAATTCTCAGAAAAGCAGGTTTATCAGGTAGCATCCACTGACAAAAGGTAGTGGATGCTACCTGAAACAACTGACCGTTTCCACAATCATATCCAGTTGCTTCTGAGAAACTGTTTTTCCGGCGTATCCTGGATGTCTTACCTTCACTGACGTAAGTTTGAGTTACTTTACCATGTAAGAGTGAGTGCTTACCCTGTGTCCGTACCAGTCATGTGGAAAGTCGTCACTGAAGGCTCTGAAGGACTCTGCATCAGCTGTCAGGTCAGTCAGACAGTCCTGCGGGAGGGAGCAAAGACATATTCCTCAGAGTCAGAATACAGAGCTTGGTGTCCGTGCAGTTGATAAAACAGAAATTACAATAACTGCAATCTTTCAAAAAGATCAGGTGTGTGTGGTTTAAACTTTGATTTTAACCGAATTCAATTCTTGATACATATTCAATGTATGAATCCAAATTTTCAAAATATTTCTTTTTCAACACATTTAGAAAAAAAAGAGTGGCCTTAGGTTTTGAATCTGCCCACCTGAAGAGAGAGTGTTCCCCTAATAGTCACCACTACAGTCTTCCTGTCATGGTCGATGGCCACGAAGAAACAAGTCTCATTCACCTGCAAAGGACAAACAGTACAGTCTTAATCATAAACAGTTGAAAAACATGCAAGAAACATCACTTACAAGTGCAATTGATTGCACAGTCTCGGGCTGTATTCAAGCAATGTCACTTAGTTCATCCACTGCTGTATCAGTGTCTACTTTAATTTTAAACTTTAACTCTTGATGATGATTGGACTTGAATATTGCAATATTGCATATCACTGGTCTTGATATGCAAATTATAGATGACAAATTCTTTTAGTCACTGCTATTAAAGCTGTATTACATATAGCATAATATGAACAATTGTTCATTGTTTACCCATATGTGTTAATATCTTTTTAAAACTACATCTTTGATACATAAGAAGTTGAATAATGATTCCATGAACTTTTCACCCATTGTAGTCTCAGTGAAATTCAGAGTGTTAGAAATTGTGATGGAGAGAAATAAACCGATTACTAATTCACTACTGTTGTTAGTCAGTCTATACAAGAGAAAAGTAAAAGACTAGTTTATTTGGAGACTTACAGCTGAGTGGAAGTTAGCGTAGGTGACCTCGGTGTTGCTCAGTCCATAGTTGTGCAGTGTGCGCTTCAGTCCGGCCAGGTTACACTGGCAGCAGTTGTCATGTTCCAGCGTGCATTCATCGTCATGTTTACGGCAACACTGGCAACAGCAACAGCTAAACACAAACAACAACAATCCTCGTCATGGTTACGGCAGCACTGGCAACAGCAACAGCTAAACACAAACACAAACAACAACATTCCTCATCATGTTTACGGCAGCACTGGCAACAGCAACAGCTAACAAACACAAACAATAAACAAACAACAATTCATTAATTTTTTTTTACCTTCATATTACGTTAAGTCTAGTCAAGTACATTACACTGATTTGCCTTGGCCACTTCCTAAGAAGACAAGGCAGGAGGTCTGGGGCTTTTTCTGTGTCACTGGGTCTTGTATTGTATACAGTCAAGTGAATGTGATGCCCAAAACCATCATCATGCAAGGAACAGTCCAGGGATGAAAAAAGAGGGGTAGGCAATGGAAAAGACGGGACGATAATATCAGCGAATGGACCGGCATGCCACTAAGTGAAACATTGTGAAGAACAAAAAAATCAAGAAGGATGGAGAAAACCAGTTGACCTTCAGATCCTCTATGTTGGCCAAAATGGTCCAAATAATCAAACTATATAACAGAAGCCCTTAAGATAGATTAGGCTGGGTGCCATCTTCCGAAGTTTCTGCCAGCTCCCTAATGTTGCTGGTTTAACTACAGTCACTGTCACGGTGGTAGCCAGTGACATTCAATAGGGAGCCGGTGGAAACTATGGAAAATGGCACCCAAGCTAGGGATTATTAAGATATGAGATGAGAATGCTTGTGTGTAGGTCATCCTTACCTGCAGAATTTGAGAAGTTGACATGCTCCTGCACCTGGATGGGTGTAGATGTACAGAGGCCATCCATACGCAGCCAGGGCATACCTCATGTAGTACACAACTTCCTTAAATTGTTCCAGTATCTCCTGTTAAGGGAAGAAGGCAACAAGTCATGTTTGTTTAGATCCAACTTCATGTTTATTAATACATTAATCTATTTCAATCTGCAACATTGTTCTTTTCTGAGCTGCCTTAGATACTTCCTAGTAGTCTACCGTCTACCAGTTTATTCAGTCCCTCCTGCTATAAAATTGCAACACGAAATAACCCAACACTAGTGACAGACATCTGGCTCATTGACCTTATTTGTCTGGAGAAGAAGAACAAAACAGATCAAAAACAAGTACGGTATATTCTCCTTTGGTAAACATAATTAAAATAGAGTAACACTGACCGGTCGGCTGAGCTGTACAAACTTGGTGCGAGGGTTGATGGGAACTCCTGACAGGAACTGGTAAGTGTCGTTACTGTGCTGTTAGGGTGATAAACATCAACTATTATAATACAGATCCAGGATCTTTAACTACATCAATGAAGAACGTGTGACACTGTTGAAAAATCTTTGCTGCATCTAGTTCATGTGCCATCCAAGCTACTTATAAGTCTATAGAATTTTTACATCTACATCCAGTAAAAGGAAGAAAGAACACAAAACATTTAGGCTGCATCATCTTTTGTCCTTGAATATACTGACCCTTCTTGAAACAAATACCAGTACATGTATGCAGGACTTTTAAAACAAAACAAAACAAAACAAAACAAAACAAGCCACACCAGTCTAAAGCTACCGTATTACATGTATGTCATTTGATACACGCAAATAATTTCTGTATGTTTGACTTGCAAAGTGCCAACAAAGATATTTCCAAATACAGATCTGATGTAAATTACTGTTCAATATCAGTGCAGTATTTAAAGGCATTAATTAGCTGTTAAAGTTATTTTGTGCATCAAAGGCCAGTTCTATATAACATCTGTGTCCATAATATCACCAGGGTCCATAATATCACCACCTTGAGAAACAGTGTGCTTAAAGATATTTTTACTGCAACATACTTTTGGTATGCACTCCTTCACACATCAAATGTACATACCTAGGGTATGTTGCAGTAAAAATATCTTTAAGCACACTATTTCTCAAGGTGGCGATATTATGGTCCCTGGTGATATTATGGACACAGATTTAACTGTTTAAAGACCAATGTGAAGACAAAAGCTTTCTATTAGGTGTCTTGATGAGGTCTATTATTGGGATTGTCTCTGTACCTGTCCAACGATCATTTGTCGCTGATGTTTCTGCTGCTGTCGGAGTAGGACCAGCCCAGCGACCACGTCGGACGGCACCAGGTCAACATCGATGAAAAACTCAGACAGCAGACGGGCGATCTCCTGAAAGGCATGCTGGGAGGGCACAGGGACGAGACAGATTTGTAGATCACTGTCTTGTATTTTATATTAGGCCACACCAACTTAATTGCCTGGGCGAAAACCAGATTATGGTTTTCGTTGGTTGTTTGGTCAATTTTGCCCATTTGCGACAACATTTGCAAACTTATAGGATGTTAACCTTGAATACGTGAATATGACCTTAAACGATATGTTCTGCCAAAGTGCTATACACAATACATCATGGCTTTGCACACTGTTAGGCACAGTATGTTCTGCCAGCGTGTTGCCATTGGCACAATAAATGCTCAATCGTACATCCATTTATGACGTAATTTCTACTTCCATTTTTACCATACTTTCTACCATTATCTACAGTTACTGTAACAGGTGCCTTACTATAACAGGTGCCTTACTGTAACAGGTGCATTAGCACACAGTTCCCCACCTGTTGATTGTCCTGCACCCCAGCACAGCAGCACAGCAGTTTGCACCTGTGTTCCCAGCTGGCTTCATATGCCTCCATGGTCAGCCTGAGGGGGGAGGGGGGCAGGCAGACAGGCAACTTCAAACTCACTTTCTCTAAAAAACTCAAATTTCTCTAAATATTTTCCCAAAGAATCTACATGTAGAACACCCAAAGACTTTTTAGTACCAAATAAATGGTCAACAAAATATTGTTTATAAAATGCCTAAAGTTGTCAGCTAATATGCAATGCAAATTGACAGAATGAACAAAGATATTAACAAATACAATTAATATGTGACATAATAGAATGATAGATACTTGTAGTTCTCGGAACAACATTAAGTCATACTAGGTATATCAAGATTATAGAAAAGATAGGCCAGCAAAAGTAATAAAATTTAATAGAAAAGCCAATTTAATAATTCAAACTACACACATCAAAGGTGTCATACTACAATGTATATGAAAAACTGAAAACATTTAATATTCCATCTGCATGCAGATGCAAAAGGATCTTGTCTTGTCATGTTCTCAATACAAAACACAAAGAAGGAGGTTGAAGACAAAAATCCTCTTCAAAACTTACAAGTCATACAAGAATAAAGGGAGGACCACACCGACAAGACATAACATACACAATTGCAATAAAATAAAAGGAGGAAAAACTGTTAAACAATGTGTTAGCTTCATTAGCTCCATGCAGCCTGTACTTGGCATCAGTATAAAGCAGTTAACATGCAAAGCATACGCAGCAAGATTAGTAATATGGATGCTGTTACTATGGCAAGAAAGACAACATCGAAAAGTAATGAGAAAGTAGATTATAGTGTTTTGAGAAGCCCGTAGCAATCATAGCATGAAGACATTTTACAGTACTGTAGTTCCTACATGTATGTAAATAGTAGCCTTTGAAATAGCTATATATAGCTTTTATATGCACATCATCAAAGCAGCAAGCATTAAAGTAGAGGCAAGCCTTTGAAGATTGTTTTTAAGGCTTTCAAGTCTATTTTTAAGGCTTACATTGTAAGATAGGAAGAAAAGTATCCCTCTAGATAAGGAAAATACATATTGTGCAACATAATCTTGAAAGGAAACACCATTTTTTTGTGTTCTCTGTGGCAAGCTGAATAAATAAAAACCCTGCAACTGCAATATTGTTCTTGAAGAATACTTTTAGTAGAGGCTCAATCTAAAGAAAATACATGTAAGTTTAAGAGTTGAAGTGTGTTACCACCACTAAAATGTGAAAATAGGTTTACAAATTTGAACAGGCTTTGCATACTTGAAAGTAAGGCTTTGGTTGTTTTGTAACACAAATACAGAGTTGATGTACGATTTCTGAAATCTACTGGTCAATATTGTATTATTCACCACTGGTCAATAATAGAATATTATTCACCACATGCACCACAACACCCAGGGCAGCACGCATGGTGCTTTCACCTTTGGTTAAGTTTTGTCCTCCAGACATGAGTGTCGGTACGTTTGATCTCCCGCTTGCAGCGTTTCAGTTTCACCCAATTTCTGCCCGCCGTGTCGAAAACGCACCATGCGGTGACAAGAACCGAGAAGAAGATGACCCAATCACAGATTATGATGCCTACAGGGTTGGTATAGGGGAAAGATGGTTGAGTTGTGTGTTAATGTATTATATGCGCTACAATACTGTACAGTGTTGTTGCTGCAAAGTATCTGTTGTCTGGATGTGGCCTGTGGGAGGGATGGAAGCATTTAGTAGATTTTAACGTTAAAAGTGGTGTATGAAATTACAGTCAAACCAGAATCTCTACATTCTACATGAGGACCAGTGGATGATGTGACCACTTTTTGGTGGTCCCTAAGTTAGATAATTTTTCCCATTGACACAAGCAGTCTATAGTGACCACATGACTTTGTACAAATAGACCAGATATTTTTTTGTCCCATGAGTGGTCTTGGGCAGTTTTGACTGCACAATAATTTTAAATTTAAATTACTTTCTGCACTTAACTGTGTTGTAAGTGGTTGGAAAGAATCCGCAGACGTTTGTCAATCTAATTAGAATTTTTGGTGTTGTTTTGATCACTGTTTCCCTGCCTGCTATATCTCACTCTGATCGACGGAGAACAACATCCAGCCATTGTTAGCATGAAAGTTCACCTGTGTTGGTATACTTCATTATGACAAAAAGGGCTAAAAGTTCAGGCCAACACTGAGTGAATTGGCAAGATGCGTACAACCCTTTGCTGCAATCCCGTGTTTTCGACGTCACGTCCCGGAGGCTGCAGTAGACAGTCCCCATTTACTCAGTGTTGGTCTGAACATTTAGTCCTTTTTGTCATATTCCAGCCTTTGTATTAATAAGCAGCAGTACATGTATGTGGTGTGCTACACAATGTTGTAACAGTTGTTATTAGGTTGGTGACAATGCGTGATCCAGTGGCAGCAAACTGCAACGGTGGCAGCAAGCGGCGACTGTTGTAACACTCTGCAACGGCAGACACAACGGTGGCTGATGTTAGTGTAAGCTGTGGTGGTGTAGACTTTTGTACCCCTTTTTATCCGAAATGGAACGATCCACTGAATGCGCAGACCGAACCATTTCCGCTCCATGGGGGGAGACCAGACCCACCTCTCATGTGGCTCTCTGCAGGTTGCAATGGTGAAGAGTGCAGCCAGACCCTGTAAGACTAGCTTGAACCAGTACAATACATCTCCCCCTAAAAAATGGTCACAAGTGTGCAGAAGGTGAAGTAAGGTTGAAGAATGCAAAATGTTCAATTTTCTATATAAACATATATCAGCTAGAATAATGAATAAATGTATTGCATGGTAAAAACATGTAAAAGTCATACAAGATGTAAAGTACTATTCCATTGTAAAAATGTCTGTCACTATCAAGTTGAATGTACAATTGCCATATGTACAATGTCTGTAACACAGAAACTGGACAGTACAGGACAGAATAACTCTTAAGAAGAAAACTACAATGTAGTTTGAAGGAATGATCTGGATATGCTCTAGATACATTCAACTGTTACAGAATAATATACCAGTACATGTACATTGTAGTTCATATAAGACCATGTACATTGTAGTTTTCCCATGTACATGTATTACCTGAACTTTCCTACATGAAAAGAAACATTTCAAAAGAATAAAAGTAACAGAAGTCTTACCCAGTACAGATTTCTTGACCATGTTGCTTGGACAGTCGTTGTAGTACTGGATGATCCACACCACTCCAACCACTGACCACACAAACTCCACCAGCAGAATAACTGCAAATAGAAGTTCTCCTAGTCTTACATTTCTCAAGGGCACATCTACAGTCATGTTAATATCTACATGCGATGTAAATTTTCTTAGGAGCCAGCCTGGCAAAGAAACTAAATTTTCTGTTGCTGACTCCTTGGACAGATCTCCTGTTCTTTTCAAATCTTTAAAGTCAAAGAATAAATAAAAGAAACAACAAACTTACAGTACATTTATTTCTGTCCTTAGTTTCTTAGCCATAGTCTTAGGTTACTAGTAGTCTCTTATAAAGTAGAAAGTTTCCTTACTTGAACAATTTGTTTTAAACTTATAGTGACTAACTTAAAATTCTCTATACTAACTATGTAACCAGTAGAGGGTTGGTAGCCAGCTGCATGAAAATGTACTTCAGTGTGTAGATAAACAGAATGACACAATAAAGTTCTAAGTCTGATATTCAATGCATGTAATAGACATTTCTTTGCATACCTCCTACACTTACCTACTAGACTAAGTAGTCTAATGTACAGCAGATATTGCATGGGTTCTCTGGGTTCTGTGTAAATCACTAATCTTAGCTAAGTCTAGAGCCAATTTTAGATTAAACTGCTTGATTACAATCTTTCATCTAACTTCTAAGTCTAATTCAGTGTAAATACAATGTGAAACAGTCTACACTTACCTAGTCTAATGTACAGCAGATATTGCATGGGGTCCCTGGGTTCTGTGTAGAGGATACTTCCCTTCATGGCGACCCAGACCACACACCCCTCCACCAGGATACATAACGTCAGGATGACCAGGTACCCCAGGATGTGTGTGTGGAACAGTCTACAGTCATTCACAAAACCCTCCTCTACTATACCCAGGATAACCGCCATTACTACCAACCTGTGGAAGAGAACAGATGATATTAGAGAAAGGCAAAGCTTTGTTGCAACAAATTGGGGCCGTGTGGCGCAGTCGGTAGCGCGTTCGGCTCACACCCCATAGGTCGCGGGTTCGAACCCTGCCCATGTCACCGATCTTGTGCCCTTGGGAAAGGCACTTTACACGAATTTCCTCACTTCACTCAGGTGGAAATGAGTACCTAGCTTCGGTTAGGGACGTCCCTTGGATAGGACGTTAAATGGAGGTCCCGTGCATGTTAAAGAACCCACCGCACTTATCGAAAAGAGTAGGGGATCTTCCCGATGTGAGTGAAACCATACAGTTCAGTCTTACGCAACTTGTACATGTGTGTACATGTACAAAACTGGTGTGTTACGCCTAAAGGAGCTTTACCGGTTATGCGAAAGAAACAAACAAACACAAAGTTGAAACAACCTTAAGTTACACATGGGGTTGTGTGGCACAACGACAGAGCGTTCGGCTCGGAACCAAGAGGTCCCGAGTTCGAATCCTGCCATGCCACCAATCTTGTGCTCCTGGGAAAGGCAATTTTTTTCACAAGTTTCCTCAATTAACTCAGGTGAAAATAATCTTTGTTGTCCGTACGTTTGTCTGCATTGGTGGCGGCATAAAAATAAGTTTAAAAAACTGTCACCATGTCCTGTGATAAATATTGGAATTATATAAAAAAAAAAACTTACACATTATTTTGCAAACTTTCAAAATTCTTTAAGAAGGTCCACTGTTATTGAAAAAAGAAGTTGGTGAGAGGATGAAGAAGTCTGTCAAATCCTAGGGTAATAGAATGGAGTATACATACAGTTAAGGCCACACCAATTTAATTTCTTGGTTAACGGATTCGCCCGCTTCATTTTTTTCTGATTTGCAAATAAAAATAAAAATTCAGAATCAACTGCAAAATGCTCATATTTTGCCCTGAACAGTTGAAAACAGTCCTTTTCATCCTAATTGTTACATTTATTCCAATTCTTTCAATGCAATGGTATTAAAAGTTCAAAATTCATTGTTTAAATTTTGAACCAGCCTGGAGTGTTGACTTCATGGCTCATATCGTACCATTTTGGGCCATAATAGGATGCCTAGGCCTGTTTTTATTTTTATTTTTTTTTTCGCCCGCCCGCTCCATTATTTTTGTAGACAAATCCGTTAACCAAGAAATTAAATTGGTGTGGCCTAAGTAGCTATCATGTGGATTGACACAAATACAACAGTCATATGGATATTTCAACAGTTATCACAAAGAATTAGATTAATAAGATTCTGACTTGTCTCCTCCAAATTGTTACGATTGAACCAAGGAACTACAGGATGATATCTCAAATATCTATTATAGTCTGCTAAATTGCAAACAGATTGGATACTAGTAAGGCAGGGCAAAGGCCTTATAATGTTATACAACTGTTGTTACATGCAAATGTATACTAGTACATAGCTGCCTAGAGTTTCTAAATGTATTCAAGGAGTGTTTTCTTCTGGTGAAACATTTATTTGAACCTCAAACATTCTCTTGGCCTTTCCCTCCATAAATCCTGCAAGTTTATTCTCCAAGCAGCACAAAGGAATCCGAAACTCTAGTCAGCTACAAAGATTTATAGGTCTATAAGAAACCTTCTTTCTTTTAGACTACTGTATTAGATCAGTGCCTAGGAATGTGGCCTGTTAACAGTGACTAACCTTTCCAATTCAAACATTACCCTTTCAAATACAATCTCTAAACACACTGACAGACATTTATACATATTCTATCAGTGCATACAGAATCATAGACTGTTTTACTTTCAGATACCCAAACCACAACATTATTGGCGAATGCTACACTAATTCAGACATTCACACAATGAACACTAAAAAAATCACTAGTTTTCACAGTTCCGGCTACTATAACATTTACAAGAGCTTCTTGTATAAGTCATACCATGTGTACATGTAATCCTTGATCTTGTGCCAATAGAAATGAATGCCTTTGGACATTGTGAAAACTTGTGACAGTTACACACACAAGTCAATTTCAAATTTTTCATGGAACAGACAAGCTTGAATGCACACAATTTGACCCCTGTGACCTGTGGTGTGAACTGTATGATATCTTTCTTTTACACAAAAATGGAACAAGGGGGTCACTGACCTGAATACGTGTTTATAATCTAAAATCAATTCACATTCAACTATGAATCTTTTGCAGTCATTTTCTTAAACTTAGAAATACAGTGGCTACAGATTTGGTTGATGCTAAAATGTTAATGTATTATCAAGAAGTTGGAGGTTCATAGAAAGACCATGGAAAGACTCAGTTGTTTCAGTCACTGGGAATTGTGCCCTAAAAAGCATGTCGGCAAAACGTACTATGCCAGCGCAAAACCCAGATTTTTCGCGAGTTTTCGTTGGATGTTTGGTCACCATTGCATTAGAATTTTGCCTGTTGCAGGGGATATCTTTTCTGACATAACATTTGAAAACTACAGACGGGTTGTCAAACTCACGTGAATACAACCTTCTATGAGACGTTCTAACAAAGTGCTATACAAAATACATGGCTTTCATGCAAGTGCAGTACGTTCTGCCAAAGTACTGCCCTTAAAGCATTAGAGAAGACTGGCCAGTCAGATTTCTACCCCAACATCTGCTTGGAGACCAGAACTCTTACATTTTCCCACAGTCGTGCATCAACAAGCGGTTCATTTCCTTCAGGTAAATTACAGGTTGCCACAGGAAGATGAACCTCGTTAGCGCTCTAACGAAGTCGTTTACAGACCGCCGGCTCTGTTATGGAGTCCTGACATTAATGTGTGGGAAGTATTTCTGCTGGGAGTTATAATCTCAGGGATACTTCCTGTGGATAATGATGTACATTGTAGCTGATGACAAAGTCACTCTATATCAGCCATCTCAGTTGATCATTCTGACATTATTATGTCTTCTACAATCATGAGCCAAGAATATGAAAATGAGAAAACAAGATCTGTATCAGTATAGCCAGTATAAGGCCACACCAAGTAAATTTTATGGATGACGTCCGCGCACGCATTGATTTTGGCATGTTCCTAGAAAAAAAAACAAGAAATTCCGCTTCCTGTAACTATGACCAAAGAGTCACGACAGTGCTGCAAATCGTCAGATTGACGTGAAACCCGTAACGCGAAAACAGGACAGGACGACAACTGCTGTTCCACCTGTTTTGATGATGAATAAAAGACTTCTTGCTTGTTACACTGTGTCACCTCATTCAATTTGTGTCCTAACATTTGTTGTCTCCTAGTATATTTCTAATCTAGGCATCTTGTTTTTTAGGGCCCTTCTTGTTTTGTTTTTTTCGCCCTCTCGCATTAGATTCAGGGTCTCCAAAGGACATCATCCATGAAATTTACTTGGTGTGGCCTAATTAGGCCACACCAAGTAAATTTTACTAGTAGGGCGCGCTTTTATTATAACTGCCCTATGGCATATGTTACACACCAGCTTTGCAGGCACGCAGCGTGACGGCAGGTAGCTACATGTATACTACACTGAACAAATCTTTGCACAGTTAATTGCAGGAGTTGTATAGTTTTCTAGTGATCATGCTAACCATGATCATCGTAACCATGACAACAGAATCAACTTGCCATCGCTTCTTATTATTAATATTAATGACATGGTTTCTCACACTTCTTATCTCCTTAGTAACCACAGAAAATCAAAGTAATGGAGCACGGTTTCTTTCATTATTGGAATTTTATAGACTGACTTGTTTTCAGTCACCTTTAAAAAGTAGTATTGTGTTGTTGTTTTTTTTTTAGTCAGAAAATAAAAACTTACTGAAACTCAAAGGTACAAAGCCTTATTGGAAGCTGGTACTATTTTGCATAGCTCAAAAACCTGTTTTCCTTCAAATACCAATTCTGATGGTCAGCACAATCATTTGGCTTTTGCATCTACTCATTATTAAACCATTGGCCATTGAAACCACTGTATTATTGTCAGTCCCCCCACCCATATCAATAAATTAGAGCTGTATGCATACAGAGCATTGTCAATAATAACCTGGTTAGTCACACCTCATTAAAGTCATTATTGAGTGATCACAGAGAGCATCAGGAAATGGGTGCCCTTTGTTTAGTGAGATTAACACCTATTTGACAATTGTCTGACTCTGTGGGGAGTAAGTTTATTGTCTGGTCTATGTGTGTAATTGGATTCTGGCTTCACTCTGAGTCTAAGGCTATGCCAATTCATTGAACCACAACATTGAAGGCTATGCAGGGCTTGAAATTCATTTATGGCACACAAAAAAATTTTGGGTACACCATATAAAATAAAAGAAGTAGTCAAGAATGTAGTCAAGAATTTTATCAATTTACACACACACTAAGAATATGCTGAATACTACATTTAACATCTTTACCAACGTAAACCTATGAAAATATTTGGGTGCAGAAATTGGGGGCCCAGGACATGTATGTTAATTCTGTAAATAAATACCCATAGACCAGACAATAAACTTTCTCCTACTATCATTTTAAAAAGCCCCTTTTGAAGCTGGCCTTCTTCCTCAGACTGAAAACAGATTCTATATGGAAAAACCTTTCACCAAAGACAGCATTTCCCACTAATACCAGGGTTTCAGCCTTTTCTGTGATGGGATCTCATAACTATAAAGGGCTTAGAAGGTCTAGAGGCTTGACCTTTTTTGGCAGACAATTCTTATCTCCGGAAATTACATGCCTTCTTCTTCATCTGTAATGTGGTCCCTAGGGACACTACATCACTTGTAGTTATCTCAAAGACTGCCAAGTCTCTCTAGGGAAATAACACAACATTTAGGAGTCAGAATTACCCGGCTGTAAAGTTATTTACCACCAGAAGGTCCCCTCTCTCTCTTGTCACATTTTATAAGTGTAAATTATTATGGGTATTTAATATTCTCTACTTTCATTCTGTATTCATCGCAATCTATCTTATATTGAGTGTTTCAAAAAGGCCTCAGTAAGGGTTTAC